TGCCTTGCTGAGATCTCAAGGAAGTTTCTGGTCAGCCCAGGAGCAGCATTTAATGGACTCAGGAAACAGTCTAGTCCTTGACCAGGAGAATTGATTGGCCTAATGCAAGTCCTTTGTGAAGAGAGAGCATATAGAAGGACGTAGTTTAAGAATTTATGATGGGTGAGCAAGAAAATCCCCCAACATCTTTGCTACTCACTCCTAACAGCCTTTGGAGAGTTGTGGCCCAGCGCACCAGTTTGTGGTAACTATACAGCCAATATGCCAAAAACCTTGCTCACCTTACTGGTGTAGGCTGGGAGACTGAAATTACTGGCTTCTTCTAAAAGGGGATGTCCTGAGTTAGCATCTGAGACCATATAGCCTAAACTTCTTGGCTAAATTGCAGTGTCAGCTTGTTACCACTTAACGCTGGTCAATGTGTTTGAGCCTTAAGTACTGTTAATGCACTCCTGAGATGAGCCTTGGTGGGTCTCTACATGTGGGATGTTGAAGCTGTTTTATACTGTGGTTTCCAAGCTCCATTTACCATAAATGGACCTTAGATGGCAGAGAGATTCCATTTGCTTGTAATGACACTATTTTGCTAATGTACTTGTGGTTTATTCACTCACGCCTTGTTCTTGCTATTGACCAGAACTGGAAGTCTTTAGGATTTCTGAGAACTGAAATAAAGTGGCGTGAAATTAGTTGTTACGTTTTACCAGATTTTGATCAGAAAGAGCATACTGCCACATGGATTCTTCCTTTTGTAGGAGAATTTAATGATCACCGCTGTTGCCATTTCCAACTCTTACACATGGAAGCCCGGGATTCTGTTGCACACATTAGGTAGTATTTTAACAAAGATTAGCTAAATGTGCTGAATTGAACTTTACGAGTCCTCTCAAAAAGGTCTAGATTTGAACTGTGCCTTCTGTTCCCATGGGCACTTTTTCATGGAGTTCTCCTGGGGAGGGATAGGAAAGAAGGCACATCACTGTTGTATTTTGTTCTAGTTCCCCTACTTGCCAGGAGGCTACATAGTAGTGAAGCATCCATTGCTAGCTACTAGAGAGTTCAGTTTTATGCCATCTTGTGCCAGTGAAGAAGAGTAGGTTAAGGTGGTGGGATGCTGCCCAAGCCTGCAGCCTTATGTGCACAATCTGCTTCCGTGCAGATGTGGGAAGGAAGAAAGGCTGCTTTCAAGGAACCGTGTACTGCATTGCCCATATTTGCTGGACCCCCTGTGCTTTAGCAGTGGGGCAGCACCAGGGTTCTTACAGTTGCTTCTGCCCCCTATTTTATTCGTTTAACTTCCCGTCTGGGATCATATGGTGTCTTTTCTCCTTCTCCCAAGTTGCCTCAAAGCATGGAAGATTTTTTTTTTAGGTTTCCTAACTTGCGTGCTGGGTACCCTTTCTCAAGATACCAATTCACCTGCACTGCTTAGCTGAGTTGCTCTCCCAAGGATGCCCATATCTGTAGGTTCCTCATGGCAAGGGGTGTTTTGTGCAGACTGCTGGTTCTTTGCCCTTGTCCTCACTAGAAGAAAAAGGGAGTCTTTAACACTCGTGAAAAGTCTAGTGTAAACAAGGCAGTTTATAGTTCTAACACGTTAGCTGCTTGAGGTAACTCCTATGCTCTCCCTTTGGGTTTACCTCCATCAGCTAATGCACATTAAAACTGCAGCATGCCTTGTCTGCACCAGGGTTTTAACATCTGTTAGCTAACATGTTAAAATAAACTTTCTCTAGCATAGACATGGCATTTAAAGTGTGCCCCAGATGGCTGACCTGACCAAATTCTATCGCTGCTCAGGGCTTTTTGAGAAAAACCAGTTCCATGAAGACTAAGTTTAGGACTGGGGAAGAGGCTGCAGCTTTCTAAGGGGACTGCTTCTCTAGTTAGTTCCAAGTCGACTTTTGGTCCAGTCAAAGACTTGCTACCTAGCTTTCAGGCAGATTCCTGTCAGTATATCTGACTCTCTGCCCCTTCCTCCTTCCCAAATCATTCCTGTTCTAAGATACTGATGCTGAGACGTTTTGTCTCTATACTGCAGAAGGGTGTTTACCCAGTGTGGCTTTTTCTTAAATGTTACTGCTACGCAGAGTCCCCAGTATTTGAAGTTGCGGTCTAGGCAATCCATAGCATTCAGATGCCCCGTGGGACCATGTTGCAACTCTGCTTGGTAAATGTAGCAAAAGTTAAAAGGAAAACTGACCCCATTATCTAAGATCAATAGTCTGCTACTGAATATAGGGATACCCGTGGCAACGTTCCTGCCTTTGGGCCTGAGCATTGATATTTAAATGCTGCATCACAGAAATGGCTCTCCGAAGCCATTGGGCACCACTGCTCCATTCGTATTGAACATGTGGGTGCGGAGTTAGGCATGGATACTGCATCTGCACACGCAGAGTCCCAATGACTTCCACAAGAGGCTGCCTGCATGAATCCAGTTGCAGGCTTGTAGCCCAAGGCTTATAGCAGCTCTGGCCAGCAGCATCTGCCCACCTAACGGTCAAGGATCTGATCTTTTTTTCAGTCCCTTCTAACATTCCTTTATGCATTCATATGCAGAAGGTGCCACATGACCCCAGAGGAAATGACCGGCCAGGACTTTGATCTAAGCCAGTTTAACTTATTACCATCTCTGCCTGTCTGGAACCAATTACAGAAACTGGAAATGGAAAAGATTTATGTCCCCTTGTCCTGACTTACTACAGAACAATATGAGTTCTCATGGCTATTGTCTCAGCTGCTATTGATTTGATGGACAACTGAACCTAAAACACTTTCCTCTCCTCTGATTTCTAATGATTTCAAGATACCCCATCTTCGCCATGTCATCTGTGATGTTTGATATGGCTCATCTGATGCTCAGACTTGCCGTTCGTGCCATGTGAGCTGCTTGGAAATTCCATCACTAGCATTCTTTAGCAACTGCCATGTTCACCATAATGCCCACTTATGGCTCCCTCAGGACACTTAAGAGATCTTCTGCAGTATTAAGTTAAACTGATGCAGTGGTGTTCTGTTGACGGTCACACTTGATTACTATTAACATTTTCCACCATAATTTGGAGACCATTGCTGTATGTGAGGAGAAGAGGGAAAGGAAATGTTAGAAGAGATCATATGAGTTTAATAGTGAAATGTAGCAGAGTCCAGTCCCTGTGAATCATTTCTGGATCTGACCCCACTGCAGATCTAGAAGTGAGAAATAACACATGGTGCTTTTTTTTTACATGATTATAGAATGGTAGCGTAAAAATGTAGCCGTTTTGGTAATGGCACAGAGAGGTCCAAAATGTTTCTGCTCTGTGCTATTCATTCCTCTAAGGATAAAATAGGGCTTTAATAATAGATGGTTAGAGGTTTAATTCCAAACTATTTTGGTTTTAAGTGATTCCGTAAAAGTGATCAGTATCTAAATGGTAGGAGTATTTCTCACTACTGTCCTTATTTGCAAAAATAGAACTAAAAACTTCCTTCACACCTGTGCTACCCCATCAGAGTCAATGAGGTTACTCAGGTATAAAGGAGAGCAGAATTTTGTATCCCCTGCAGAAAAGGCAGGATTATACTTGCATATTCTGCACTCTTAACCGATTTTAATGCCCGATGATACAAAACTGGAGCTTAGATTTCAGTGTTCCAATAACTTGGTTAAATTGGAACATGCGTCTGACGAAGTGGGTATTCACCCACGAAAGCTTATGCTCCAATACTTCCCTTAGTCTATAAGGTGCCACAGGACTCTTTGTCGTTTTTTGGTTAAATGATATCATGTGGAGCGTAACACTTCCCAGAAGATGGGAGACAGCTAACTTTCTCTGAAACTGACTAGCATCTTAAGAGGCTGGTGATAGGACAGCCAAGGGACACAGGCAAAACCTTCTAGTGGATTTAAGGGAAGCATTCAGATTATGGAGAGCGCTTCCTCCTTGCAAATCTAATAATGGAGGTGGAGAAGAGAGTTCATGAGGAACCAAGCCAGCCTTGTAAAATCCCACTTGCCCAGGGTAAGAGATTCTCTTGGATGGGCAAGTAAAATATGGGCATTTCCATCATGGTAAGGATGGGAAAGAAGAGCTTATGCCTAGGTTGGTAAATCTTCATGTCAATGTTGCAAGGCTGAATGTAGAAAAACATGTTTGTTTGGATGGCACTGCTCTTAAATTGTGAAGCATGGCACTAAGTAATTGACTCATCTGGCCTGGGGGGAGATTTCCGGAGCAGTGCATTTGACATCTTTCATGTGGCCAGCAGTTGGGTAGAGTCTTGTTAAGACAATGCTGTCTGCAATACTGGGTGCTACCACTGTGGACGACACTCTTATTAGAATTCTGTAGCACACTTTTAAGATCATGTCTTGCACAAAGGCCAAGATTCAGGCTTGATTTGCCTGGAAACACTCAAGTAGCAGCCATGTACTTCTTACCCCCAACACAGGAACTTTGCCTTGCAGCCTCTAGCATGAAACTAAACTTCTGCACAGCAAGCTTTAAACAGGCTAGTTTCTTTATTTGTTGTGGGACAAAAAACTGCTTCCTGTGAGGTTGTAGGCCAGCCGGCCTGCCTGTCGGAGGCTTTTTTTAAACAACAGTTCATGGTCAGCATTGGCTGTGCTCAGATACCATTGTGGTTGGGCTCTCTATAAATAGTCCTTTCAAGTATAAAGCAAGGGATCAAGTTAGAGAATTCTGACCACTTTTTTAACGCTCTGTCGTTACTGTTGCAAGATCACCTCTTGCACGAAGAGCTAGATTTTAGACGAGAGCCTTGGAAGGGAGACGGCTGAGTTTCAGTTCCCACCTCCGCAATGAACTTGGATCTTGAGCAAGTCACAGCTACTCTGCCTTGGTTTCTTTTATGTTAATTGGTGATCATACCCAACCGGGCAAAGCCCTTCAGGGTGCTTCAGTCAAGGATACTGTACAGGCTAATTTTCACTAGGTAGTGGTAGTAGGTGGCTAAATTTGTAGGCCTCATACTAAGTAAATTTTGGAAAGGAAATGTTACGGGCGTCCTCAGAGGTACGTTTTAGCTACATTTCCATGTAGCTGAATGGGCTTAGAGAGCAGCTTTTCCACAGTTCACCTGATCTCTCCAGGAGGCTGTGTAACTCATGTGACGCTTGCACATGGCGTGAGTGTCAGTGCAGAGTTAACTGCTCTGGCGTGCCACGTGTAACCTGTAACTCTGTCTTGGTGATATCTGTGCTTCACTAAGGCATCTTGATGTAATGGCCAACCTAGGGAAAGAATTAGCTCGGTTTTAAATAGGCTGCATGACTCCAGTTGGAGTATATTTGCTCTAACTGACTTTCCTCCTGAAATTAACTCGTTACTTAGCCGTTTAGAGACGTGGTATGAAGACTAAGACTTAGCTTTGTGTATTGGTGGTTGTACTTACATTTTCTAAAGCAGGTTTGGCTTGATATTGGCGTACGTTTTCTCATAAGTCTTAAACTGCATTGCAAGGGTAGTGACTGGGCTCTACCAGCTTTTCAGAAGATCAAGCTGAATGGTTTTTCCAGAGCTGAGGAAGAATTGCTACTTTCCTGTATTCATTCATTAGCTCTTTCTCTTTCTCAATAGGAAACCCCGATTGACAAGAACTCAAAGTGCCTTTTCTCCGGTTGCTTTCAGCCCCCTCTTCACAGGTAAGGATAGAAAGATGAAGTGAAACACTTTATTTTACACTTTTAGGTGTGTTACTCCTTTAGATTTAATTACAGATAATTAAAAGACTTCCTTTCTGTTCATCTACTAAGAGCTATGCAATCCACCAGGAATTACAACCCCCTAAAACTAGAACCCAGCATAAGGCTTGTCTGCACTGGGAAGTTACTGTGGATAAAGGTAGGGTGTGAATTTAAAGCACAATAGCTGTTCCTTATTAAATGCCTGTGGGGGACACCGTTGACAGGAACAGTTAATCAGAAGCAAATCTGTGTAGACCAGCCCTGAGGAACACAGCTCCTCATTCTGCTTCATGTTTTATTTTCCCCTGTTGAAAGGGCAATGGGAGTCTGAACTATGATCCTAGCATGCAAAGGACTGTCTTTATTAGACATGCTGGCACTTGTAGCCACAGCAGTGTGACCTACCATGTTTAAAAGCAAGAATCTTCACCCTGGTGCAAGCAACACTTCTGTACTGGGTTTTGTACTGGTGCAGTTGCATCAGTGCAGAAGTCTGTAATGGAGAGCACCAGTCACATACCAGGACCCTGTCCTAGGCACTATGCAATCACAACAGTGTGTGTTCCTGCACCAACATGAGTTGAAACCCCCACAGAAGTCATTTTAATATTATGGTAGCAGCACACGCTTGGTTTTTTTCTGTAACATGCCTAGCTTCCCGTAGATGTGCATAATGTGCATTCATTCGGCAAACCAGAGATTGACAAAGCCGAAACTCCTAACACCATCTCCCCAGCTGTTGCCAGTGTCCTGGGATCTTTGTGTGTGTGTGTACATACGTGGGAATACAAACCTTGTATAACCTTTCTCTATAAAGAAATTAAAACTTTAATGAACTTCATCATGATGGGTTTTAAAGTAACTTTTCTCCAGAAAAACTTCAGAGAAGAAACTGGAAATGACTAAATCGATCACAAGTTTGAAATCACTTTTTAATTTTGCCGGTGAATGAATCTTGTGACTGGTTTTGTTACTCAGGTTTTTCCGATTGGCAAACATCTTCTAAATAGCTAAACTTTCTGTAATCTGGAAACCGTGTCGTCTCAAGACCTTTTCACTTGCATAAGACCGTGCCAACTTCCTCAAATGGTCTTGTGTCTGGATTATTGATAACTTTGTCTGCTCACAGACGTCAGGTTCTCTTATGCAAAAAAAGGGTAGTTTTTTATTTGCTGATTTTAAATGGGACTTTTCCAAAACTTGACACTCACTAAGGATGACCTAATTAGAACCTGCTTGGACCAAGTTGCATGGATCAAAGAGGGGCCTCGTACCTGATTTGTCCAAAGGTCTTGGAAATCAAAGGTAAGGCCAAGAAGCCTGCCTCGCCTTCTAGGTCAATAAGCTACCTATGGGGAGACGTATGGTCAAGAATCTCAAGACTCTTTACCTTGGGGTGAGGAAGTCAGGATCTCAACTACCAGGCCACTCCTTCCTTTTCCAGTTTCTCCCTGCACCTGGAGGTTCATTAGCGGGAAATGTTGGATCCTTAATTAGCTAGCTTCTAGTCCACAAGACTGAGAGCTGATGTGTTTGCAGCCCCCGTTACCTTAAGTATTTTTATTCTGTCTTTTGTTTTACTTGGCTTTATTTTTAGGGGGTGGCAGTAGGCACGCAGGTGTGAGCACCCACACGTGGGGAAGGCACCTGAAAGAGAGAAGCTACCCAAGTAAACCGCCTTCAATCTTGTTTCCTGAAATTATTCAGCGTGTTCTGTTTAAAAATCCAGAGACTTGAGATTACCATCTGTAATTTCTAGTAAACAAGAGTTGTCAAACTTCTGCTTCTCCAGAGTTCTGTTCAGTGGGCTATCCTTTTTGTTCAGTGTTCACATAGTGCTTGGCTGAGGCCCCTGCATGCTACGACAATGCAAATGATTACATCTTGAAAGAGTTAGCCACCCGCAAGAATTGAAATCGAAGGAAGGAAGTTTTATAATTGGCTCTGAGGTTGTGATTCAGATGGTTCAGTTTCAGTATTAAGATATTTAACCAGCCCCAAGTTATGGATTTGATTGACTTTGAAATTGTTTAGCTGGAATTTATAACTACACAGCCAGCCACCTGCTTAGAATCCTCTCTAGAATGGATGAGGCTTGGGTTATTTTTAGTATTTGATGCGAGTCCAATCCAATAGTGGGACTAACTTGTGGATTTGTCAGTTGGATTGCTTTAGGGTTAGTTTAGTTTAATAGTAGTAGTTTAGCTTTGGTGATGTTTCCTCGGTTTTATTGATGTGTTTTAACACATGTTCACTGCAATGGGGTCCAGAACCTTTGAGCACCTGGGTCGATACCAGCTAGGTAACGGCTCTCCCAGTTATTTGATTCAAGCAGGACGCTGATCTTAAGGGCTACTCTGCAGCATAAGCAGGCGTTTAACTCACTTGATCCTGTAGGCTGTTGGCAGGCAAACTCCCCTTGAAGTCAACAGGAATGTTGTCTGTAAGACTTCTGGCAGGGATGGGCAACTTTAAGGTGGTAGAGGGCCACAAAATCCTCTAAAACCCTTTGGCAGGCTGGGGTGTATGATGTGGTGGTTGGGTCCTGCACCTAGGAGGTGGGAGCCTCTGGAGGGGGGGGGTGTTAGAGAGTGAGCCAGCCCCACACCCACCCTGAAGTGGTGACTCCTGAACCATGGGGCTGGGCCTGGTACCCCACTCTGGCCCATTAGCTCTCACCACAGGATCACCTGACCCACATGCCTACATGTAAGGGAGGCCCTCCCCGCATAATACCTTATCCTGTCCCCTTCTTGGCCATTGTACCTGCCCCAAGCTGGGCTGTGATGGGCCAAATAAAATGATCTGGCAGGCTGTTGGCAGCCTCTGGGCTGCTAGATGCCCATCCCTGGCTTATCGCATCTGGCCACAGGTACCAGTGCATGAAATTGGCTTTTTAAGCCACGTCATGAGCATTAAAGCCATAGAGAACTTCAGGGGAATTTTTGTAATGCTGTGGTGGTCAGCATCTGAATCTAGAAATCAGAAGAGCCCAGCGAAGCATATTGAAGGTTAATATCATGAGAAAGAGAACGTGGTCAAAGAACTGCCATTGAAGTATTGCTGACTATCTTCCACTTGGGTCGGTTGGTGGGAAAATCTCTTTAATAGCTAAAAACATGAATGGGTTTTTAAGTCCAAAATTTGACCGTTCCATCAGATGTGCCTTTGGCTATTGGAGTCTTTCCCTTTGTGTCTAGCAAATACCTAGGAGTGTGCATGAAATGCACACGTTAGGAAGCCTTGGCAAGCACTGGTATGTTTAATGTAGCAAATAGAGTTAAAAAACAAAACACACCCCCTCCAGCTCCTTGCTTGGAATGCCCTTCTGCGGTATACCTCAGTCGCCGAAATTCAGTGCCTGCTGCGTCAGCCTGGAAATCTTGCCTGGTAATAGCCTTCAAGATGACTGAGTCTGTTGTGCTATTGAAAGACTTTCTACAGTGTATGCTGAACTTAGGTTGGGTTTAGAAGCATGCATCAGTATTTGCCATTTGTTTGCACTTGACTGTTGCTTAGAGCCTGACCTTTGGGCTGCTGGGGCAGAGTTGATCAATGTCTTATAATCAGTGCAATGGGGAAATTCAACTTGAAAGCATTTAATAGGAGACTGAAGCAGAGGCCTCTGACCTGTGTGGAAACTGACCTCCAAAAACTTTCTAAAGCCACCTCCTTGCTGCTTGACTGTCTCTTCCCTTTGCATGCGCTGGAGAATGTGCAAACTCTTACCAGTCTCTCTCCATGAATCTTCAGGTGAAACTGTGTCACTAGTGGATGTGGACATCTCCCAGCGAGGACTGACCTCGCCTCACCCTCCGACTCCTCCACCTCCACCACGGAGAAGCCTCAGCCTGCTAGGTACTCTACATACATCCCCCTAGAATTTCCTTCTTGGTCATGTCTGTGGCTGTAAGTGGTAGGGATTGAATTATTTTTCCATTTTGGAGTACAGTGCAGGCTCTTACAGGCTCCCTTCCGATAAACTGATCTCGCCTTCCCAAGCAAAGGATTTCTTCCCATTCCATATCCAGGGCTGCTGCTGAATCAGTTGGCAGGGAGGGTTATTCTAGAACACTGTGAGGTGGTCCCTTTCTCCCGGGTTCAGCATGCGAACTCGACAGCACTCCCTGGCTTCTGAGATTGAAACGCAAACTTGCATGTCTCATACGTGGCTGCATATTGGGCTGCCGTTAGACATTCAGAAACCTGTTGATGTTCTTAATCTTGTATTGCCAGACACATTCTCCCTAAATACCCAGTTTAGAAACTAACTTCTTGATTTGCAGGAGAGGTGGTGTATGTATCCAGGTGACACTGAGTGACGCAAGTTCTGAGGTTACATCAATATCTGCTTTTCAGAGAAGCTAGTGCAAGGCTGAGCTGTTGGCTAATGTGCCATCCCTTCCCCTCCTGCTCAGCCCTGCAGGCGGAGCTGAATGCTGGGCTTGCTCTTGCGCCATTGGCAGGTGCTTGGCGATCTAGCAGCTCGCTTACTTTCCTATATTCTGAACCTCTCTTGCTTTTGTTCTCTTCTAGATGATATCAGTGGGACGCTGCCTACATCTGTTCTAGTGGGTCCGATGGGGTCTTCCCTGCAGTCTTTCCCTCTGCCTCCGCCTCCTCCACCCCATGCCCCAGGTCAGCTTAGTTTTAGCGGCAAGGCTGTGTTATGCAGAGATCTGGACTAATCTTTTTTGGCAAATGTCTGACCTTACTGAAGTCTGTATTGCCTGTAAGAACGATAGCAAGGGTTGGGTGCTGCCCCCTTGGCCGGTTCAGGTAATGCAAGATTGAGCTGGTGGTCTACCCATGTTACAAACTGGGACATGGTTGAGTCAAACCTCTAGGTTCCTTTTTAAACTTTTTGTACATGTAATGTGGCTGTCTGCATTGCTCGTAATAGCTGAGTTACCCTCTTCCATTTGGCAGCTTTCAAATCTCCACTTCCTCCCTTAGGCTCAGCAGAACTAGAATGTACCTGAATCACAGCCTCTAACCCTAAACTGGCTGCAGGATGCACTGCGTGGCCTAACAGGTGTGATCACTGGGGCCTCTTGTCTGCTAGTGTTAGCGTAGTTCTGGGAATAGGGCTCAACACTGGCTCCCTAGGCACCGGAGTAAAATCACATACAGGGCTCTGCAGCGACATAGCTCTATCACTTAACCTTCCGGTTTCTATCTTCCCGCGTCAAATTTTTTAAGCGGTCAGATTTTGGGCCTAAACGACTTTGACAACATCCCTCTCCAAGCCATTTTAAAAGCAGGTGAAAAGGCCTTGGCATTTCCATGGACAGGCCTCTGAGGGGACACGGGTGAATAGCTGGTGAAGACAATGAATTAGTTGCCTTGGAGTTGCTACCCAGGTTTCCTCACTCTGTCCTCATTCCCAAGGACGCTGTCCATCCATCAGTAAAGCTTCTTTTTCTATGCCATGGCTTCATTGCGCCTGCTTTGTCCTCTAGAATCCAGGGCCTGTTTGGGGAGGGCGGCTCTTATTCTTTGCAGTATTGCTTGTAAAGGAGTGACCGTTGCCTGCCATTGTTCGTTGTTTCCCTGCAGATGCGTTTCCCCGGATCGTCCCGTTCAGACCGTCCGAGGCAGTGATCAGCCAGACCACCCAGCATCTTCACTGTCCTCTCTACCGACCAGACTCGAGCAGCTTTGCAGCTAGCTTGCGAGAACTGGAAAAGGTAAAGGCTTCCTGTGGCGTCTAGATCTCGGGACACTCTTACAAGACCTCCAGTGGGCAAAGGCTTTCCGTTGCTGGACTGTTCGTGGGTTAAGTCAGAGATCAGCCTTATGGGCTTCGTTATTTTCCCCATATGCATTTGGAAGCGTGTGATGGGGGTGGGACAAAAGGAAAGATGTTTCCCTAATGATAGCCCTGCCAGTGATCAGTTCCTCACTTGTATATCCCCACCAGCTTTAGAAGCACTTGGATATAAGTGGAAGAGGGGTAATGTCTTCCTTAGTCTGGTAGCTTGCATGTGTAAAGAGATGTTGCTTGTATGTGGTAGAGGGACGGGATGGCCTTGTTTATTCTAGGAAATTGACTCATTGCTGTCAATGATTGACCATCGCTCTTCCTGGACTATGATGAAACAGGTTTATCTGCTAGTATAGCTAGAACCAAATGGTTTAATGTCGTCTGACTTTCTGTAACGGTGTCTTAGTGTTCCCCAGCAGCAGGTTAGGGGGGACCTGTGGCTGATACCTTTGGTCCGCATCAGATGGTTCCCCAGTGTAGGCTGGGTTGTTGAGGGCCATTTATACCAGGATGCTAAACTGCTCCTCTTGTGGTGAAATACTGGCCTTGCCGAGGAAATTCTTCAGCACTGCTTTTGCCAGCAGCTACAGACAATGCCAAACTGTTCATTCTTCCTGGGAGCGCACTGGTGCTAGGATGGGGCAGAAAAGGCCGACAGTTCTTTGAATCCGTTGATGGTTGAGTTAAGCCGTTTAGTACGGAGCTGTTAATGGGCAAGTGCCTTTCTAGCTTACCAGAAGTCTGAAGACCTCTTTGCACTCTCTACTGGTAGTGTGGTTGGTATTGGGGACCAATGAACTGGGAAGACGCAGAAATGAAGCTGAAGGGGAAGCCAGACGGATCCTTCCTGGTCCGAGACAGTTCCGACCCTCGTTACATCCTGAGCTTAAGCTTTCGATCGCAGGGGATCACCCATCACACCAGAATGGAGCACTACAGAGGTAAGAGGAGCCAGGTTCTTGGAGTCGTCTCGTTCGCTGAGATGTGGCTGTGGCCCATCTGCTAATCAGCTCTGCGCTGCAACTCCACCTGTCTGTAGGAGCCCAGAACAATGCATTGTGCAGAGACCTGCTTGCAAAGGGGGAACTGAACGCAGCCATACCTTGCCTTCTGCTTCTGTGCTAAACTGCAGACCTCAGTGAGGGTTCTGTTGTGGGTTGATCCCAGAGGCTATAATGAAGGACTTAAGTGGGAATATTTGGCTCTAAGTTGTGTGTGTGATTGATCCTATTAAAAAAACAAACAAAAAACCTAACCTTTTCTACTCTCTCACGACAGGGAAGGCTAAATAAGGAGCCATTCACCTCATGAGTTGTCATAGCACACAGACTAGCCTAAACTGCAGCCATCTCTGCGGACTGTTCTTGTCCTAGCGATCACAGACTTAGTGGCCAAGGGAGGGTCTCGGGCTGTGAATGCTCCATTTAATCCCTTAACTCCTCTGAACGGCATCTTCCCATCCCCCTCCTTCTCAAACATCACTCCATTGAGAAACTGAGCAATATAATCCAAATCCCCTAGTCCCTTTTCCTCCGTGCCCATTCTGCATGCTTCATTTGGGGAAAGCTTATTAAGAAGGAGCTAATGGACTTCCAAAGTTGCTGTGCAAGAAAATATGAAGGAAAAGCTTATTGATTCATTAATAGAGCTTTAAGGCCAGAAGGGACCATTGTGATCATCAAGTCTGACCTGCCTAGAAGACCTAGCTCAGTGTGCAATCATTGTACCTTGTTCTTATTTATGAGAGAGTTCAGTTATTTTGGTTGTTGGAGACTAGCAAGGCTAAAACTTTGGGACTATTTAGTCTTGATGTTTCACCTGTTAAATGGGAGGTGATCATGGGATGTCATTGCTGATGAGTTACTTTGCCTTTTGGTCACCTTCACACGTACTGTGTTAGAGCAGAACTTCAGCGTTCATGCGTCTGGCTGGTACAAACGGCCCATGTCCAAGCTGAAGTTTTAACTTTGATCTTGTGGCTTTTCTATTCTGAGAACTCTTTGCATGTTGCTTATACCAGCTTCCTGCCTCATTTGTCATCTTGCTGAAGGATACTGCCCCCTGCCCACAAGCATTTGCATTTCAGATGTGGTTTTCTGTGTTGGGACTGCACACAATGTTCTGGAGGGGAGCAAAATGCCTGAGATACTCAATGTTGTGAGGGGATACCATCAAAACAGATGGTCTTCCAACTCCCCTGTAACAAATCAGCAGCCTTTACCGAGGTGCACAAGCACCAACGTACTTGAACCTCCGTGGATACCAAAATTAACCTCTAAAGACATGCCTGCGAAAAGGGTTTCCCTCTGAGATTGCCTAGCCCACTTCCCCTTTGGACAGTGGCCCTTGCCATAAAGCCGGAAAGGGCAGATGCTGGTAGCAATTTGTAATTTGAGGCCCTCTTGACAAAAGTTCTTGTATGGTGACTCTCTCCTACCATGAGCAAGAGCTGGCGCAAGTTTCCTTTGCTGCTTCTCAGGTTTAACACCTCAAGGGTGAGAGGTCTCTGTTACCAGAGCTTCATTCCTGTACTTCTGTAAGGCTGCTACCCTTCACTCGGCGTCGCCTCCACTGTGTGGCCATAATCCATCGCACCTGTGTACATGTCTGGTTGTATTCCCCCTTTCCCAGCTGCCCTTCACAAGTTGCTTAGACACTGGTTCATCAACGCACCTAGAGTGTGTACTTAGCTATTAGCATGTGAGTAGTTTTATTGATTTTTAAATGGGATTACTCATGGTTAAAGTTAAGCCTGTTCTTAGCTGCTCTGCAGGATTGGGGCCATAGATTATAAACTGTTTGGCGCGTAGTCCATTAATAAAACTTTCAAAAGTGACAGACCCTGAGGAGCCCAAGTATCATTAAAAGTCAATGGGACTTAAGATCCTAGGTGCTTGGGGTTTTGGCTCTTAAGTAACTAATGTGGTTTTGAAAATGTTACCCCAGGTCTTTGTGTGCGGTGTGTAGTATAATGAGACCCTGATTTGGGCCTCTGGGGCCCAGTCGAATATAAAAGATGAATTCCAAAGCTCAGAGCTGCCTCTCCACTCCAACAGTCCGGTCGCTTGCAGCAGTTCCCAGGAATCGCCTTACCGAGAGACCCCGGCACTCCTGTTTGTGTAATTAACTCGACACTTACACTAGGATTGGCGGCGCTGCCTGCTGAATGTGCTACAGCTGTTCTGAAAACTGCAGAGCTGAGCACTTTGCTAAACCAATGGAAGTGACAAGTGACCGAGCTAGAGGAATGGTAAATAGGGAAATATTTGACCTTCGGATTTCAGGTGGGTGAAATGGCACAGTGGGACATTTATTTGTGCCTAGGGACTGTAGCAAACACGCGACATAAAAATGTCCTGCGTTCTGAGCAACATGCAGACAACTGTTCTTTGATCTTCCTGAAGCAGGTAGATTTTAGAGCCTGGGGTTTATACGATACTTCTGGGGGATTAACAGCTCAGTGTTACTACGTAGCTATTCCTGAATAATTCCATGGGTAGGCAAGCCCTAAAGGCTGAAACTTGCACTGGGATAACTACATTGATTTAGCTACCCCTTGGCCAGTCCCTAATTTAAGTGCTCTCTGCATGTCTGTAAAACCGAATTTACTGATAACTTATTGGTTTAAGTTGTGGCATTGCAAGCACTGCTCTGGGCCAGTACAGCATGTCTGCATTCAGGGTCTGCCCCACGGGGGTACCAACCTTGGAGTAGGTGCCCACCTCTCTAATGTCGAGTTGGCCCTAGGTGTAGCTCTTGGGGATGTTACCTCTGCTGTTCGGATGAAGCTGTATTCCGTACTGTGCCCTCCTGAGGTACTTCTAAGTCCCTGTGCTTGCTCCTCCATTGCTAGGGGTCTTCTCTCTGCTCTGGTCACACGTTCCAGGCAGAGGGAAGGAGCAGACCTGGCACTGTGGGGTGCGCAGATAGCATTCCTGCAAGCAGGGGGGTGAGTGGGCCTGCATCTTGGGGTCAGGGAGGAAAGTGGTCTCCAATCACTGCACAAAGATGTTGAGGGAATGGTCTTGGGTGGCTTCTAAGGATCAAACTAACCTACTGAGAGATCTCGAAGTAGCTTAGATGGGGGAGGGCTGTCTTTATACTGGCTCTTCCCAGCTTCATCATTTCCAACCCTAGCTTAATGCAGAAATTGCATCAAGAGGGGACCAAGGGAGAAACTATCACTATCCGTGTATCTTACCCCTGCCTCTAGAGTGAGAGGGCAGGGTTGGACTGAAGCGTGTCATAACATGGGGCCACACCGTGCCCGCTTGTAGAGGTGATGGCCAAAGGGTCTAGAGACACAGGCTCCCCGGTACTTACTCCAACAGCTGGGATGTATCTGTGTGGGTCGGCTGGGCTCACTGTGCTCCTGCTGCAGCCGCATTCTTCTGCTGGGATGGTGGTGTTGGGGCCCTTTAGAGCAACACCCCCTCGCGCCCCCCCCGTCCCCCCCTCCGAGACACAGTGGGGCAGGTCACTCCTCTCAGAGCTATTGCTGAAGGTTATCTGCAGTTTCATGGAGAAATCACTGCAGCAGGTACACTCGGGTCATATTTTGGGGGGTTTCTTTACAACAGCAAGGGCTTAGAGGCGTTTTTAAGCAAAAGCGTACTTGTCAGTGGCGTGGGCATGGGCCATAATACCAGTGTTAATTCAGCTCTGAGAGGGTAGCCCAGTCACTGGCCGGTCTGTTGAAATTGCCCACAAGTATGCCAGCGATGGTGGTGACTTGGTCATCTGTCCTTTGAAGACATGAGTGAGCAGCGCAGATTAGTCTCTCCTCTTCCCTGCCAGCCCCTTTGTAATACGAATCATTTCTTGTTGGAAGGAACCTTCAGTCTGTGGTGTCACCCCAAATTTGAGGATCGCTGCCAGTCTGTGGTGGAGTTTATAAAGAGAGCGATCATGCACTCAAAAAATGGGAAGTTCCTTTACTTCCTGCGATCCAGGGTTCCAGGTGAGTCTTGCACCTAAAACTACTTACAACTTTTTGTGTGTGTATGTGTTTGATCTGTGATCAGGCTGGGCAAGTCCTAGAGCTGTGTGTTGTGCGCTGTGACCAACACTCTGACACGTGTCCTCGCACATCCGCTTTGTACGTGTGGCTGAAAAGAGTTTCTCACCCAGAGCGTGTTGTGGAAATAACCTTTCCCCAGGCGGGAGCTCATCTCAACGTCTCCCACACCCAGGAAGTGCAGGGATTACTGGGGGATCGCCAACTTTTTATCCACGTTAAATGAATAAGTATCTGGTCCCATCATTTGCAGTAGCCCTGGATCCCTGCACTGTTAAACACTTATTAGCCAGTTCTTTTCAGCACTAGCGCGATAGTAACGGATAGCTCATTGCTATTACAGATGTGGTTGTACCCACTAGACAATGGACCCACCCCCTCGACACAGACTTCCTAGTGCTCCACGGTGCACATCATACCATGCACCTGGTTTGTAGCCAGTTAACTAGTTGCTAAAACTTGACTGTTTCCCCCAGTCTCAATGCTGCTACCCTTTCTTGTGGGCAACTCAGCAGTTCACAGCTCTCCAGTTCTCCCCTTGATCTCGCTGGGCAGAGACACATTAAGCAGTGCAGATGCATGGGAAGATTTCCAAGTGGTGAGCTAAACATGAGCCTCAAGCAGTCGCTACTGTAGATTCAGCATCCCTTGGGGAACAGCAGTGCCGGAATACATCCGTGCTTGCCACAAGAAGGGAGCATTAGTGAGGTTCTGTCAGTGCATGTTTGATTGTGGCCTGCTAGGGAACAGGCTTCTTGCAATTCCGCCCCAAAGTCAAACTCGGTATGCATGCTCTCAATTCCCTATTGCCCCAGTGCAATCTGACAGCAGAATTTGCATTCGTGTGCTGGGGCATTCTGTCACTGGCTCCCGCTCCCTCCCCCCCCCCCCCTCCCCCCCCCGGTATCCAAAAGCTGATGGGATAAATCCAGTACGGAAAGGAAGAAAATACTTCTGTAAAGTGAATAAATGTGAAACTGATTTGAAGGGGGCAGTAATGGGGTTCAGAAGTTCAAGTGGGGATGCACAGTGACCCCTGAATTAAATGGCTGGAGCGTGAGGAATTGGCACATTCAGCCACTCAAATAGGAAGTTGCAAAGAGCTGGAAGCGAATGGTAGCGATAGCTACACAGGGTGATGAGGGTGTGAATTTACAGCTTGCATTACAGTCCTAATTAGCGAGCCCAGCTGAGATTGGGGCTCCATTGTGGTAGGCCCTCTGCGTAACTAAGGCCCTTCTTGGTGTGCGGGGAGTCAATAAGATACATTTGTGCACATCATGTCTTGGAGTAACTAATACAGCTCCCCTTACTCTTGTCTCCAAAATATCCCCATGTGCATAGACCTGAAAGATTCTTTCCTTCCAGCCCCCTGTTTCTCCCTGAAATCTCTCCCTCCTCTCTACAAGGAGAGTAGCTTATTTAAAAGCAACTTACTCCGGGCAAGTGATCATCTCCTACCTGCCTCCCTGGGGTCGGTGTAGGAAAGGTCGTTGAATGGCACTGCTTGCCTCTCTCAAACGGCACATTTGCCCCTGCTGTCTCACCTGGATCTTAACGCTTTCCTTGTGATGCCCCACTGGGGTGCAGCCCTGAATCTGAACAGGTTGTGCAGCCCCTATGCCAGCAGTGATTTCTGGTGTAGTCTCCCTGAGTTCGAGTGCCTTGGATCCATATCTCCTCTGCACTCTTGTGTGTGCTATATTGCAGCAGAAATAATGTTCACCTCTTGGTGTGGGGGTTTCGAGTGTGTATCTGGCTGCTAGCAGCGAGGCAGATGGCTAGCGCAGTGTGCAGATCTCTCACTGTGTCCCTGTCGTTCCTGGCTGAGCTCCCAGAGGCTTATTCCTCTTTGCGGGGGCAGGGGGGAACCCTCAATTGATTCCTTTTCTTTGCTTTCTCAAAAGCTGGCTCACTGCTTCCTGAGCTGCCTGGAGCAGTTGCAAGCCCATCTTAGTGTGAAGAGCTTTTGCCTTCTCTCCTTTCACTCTGCTCTGCTGGCCTCCGAGGCTTCAGTCAGAAAACTCCCTGCCAGCAGGAGGGAGTTAGAGTGGAACTAGTACTGAATCCGTCAGAAAAGACAGATCAAACACATCCCTGCTGCTGCTGACCTCTCCGCTGCCCTTAAGCTTGGGTGGGTATCTCAGAAGGCTGTTCGGTGCATGGGCTGGCTCCAGTGATTCAATACAGTTCCTGCCCCCAGGGCTTGACACTGCTGCTGCCTCTATGCCCAGCCTCAAGAGTGAGTGAGTTACCCCATGGTTTGAGGCTCATTCCAACCTGCCCTTCGCAGTGCCGATACAGCTGCTCCCTGGTTACTCCAGTTTAGTCTCCTGCTTCCCCTCCCCCATGACGTCCGCATTCTTGAAATGTGATGGTTTTCAAAGCCCTGTCGCTTTCCTTCGTAAAGTGATGCTTCGGCTACTGCTGATTCCCAGAGAGCTCGGTCGGAAACGTGCGCAGTCCTAGAATCTGCTTCACTGCTGGAAATGGCAGAAGTGATGGGGCATTAATCAGAGGGGACCGTTCTCCCCGGATTTGCTCATGAGACTGGCTCCCGTCCACGTAGAACATGGCCAGCAAAGCCATGCAAGCTGAAAGCAATGGCTCCCTCCTCTTGGAGGCTTTCCACTCCTCTGTGCGAAGCAGAGCCTTGGTCTCCTCTCCCGCTGGGGCCAGTTTGCTTCCTCCTGGTTTTGATAAATAACTTACTTTGCTTCTAATAAAGCCTTACCTTGGTCTCCTCTGTTTTGCTTTAAGGTCTCCCTCCAACGCCTGTCCAGCTCCTGTATCCTGTCTCCAGGTTCAGCAACGTCAAATCCCTCCAGCACCTTTGCCGCTTCCGGATCAGGCAACTTGTCCGCATAGACCACATTCCAGAGCTCCCACTGCCCAAGTACGTTCTCATGACTGGGGGTGGGTGGGGGAACTTGTTTGTTTCTGGGCCTAGAATCTAGAGGGCAGATCTGAGCACTGCAGCCCCTTCCCTGTTCCTCCGTTTGCCTGTCGGTACCTTACGTGGCAGCTGTAGCATTTAGCCATGGAGCAGTGCAAGAGGGAATCTGTATGTGGAACTGGGGAAGGGAGGGACATTGGGCAGGAGCAGATGGCCACGGTGAGGAGCTGTTGGAGCAGGGACAGCTGGCACAAGGGCAAGCAGCAGCAAATGAACAGACAGGCGTGGTGGCTAGCTGATGAATGGGGAATGTGGAGTCTTAGACGGCTCGCTCTTCCGGCTGCAAAGCCCCTTGCTTTCCTGTTCGGAATTGGCACCCTTGGCCTTGGGTGGGGCGGCAGGAGGAATCTATCTGTTCTGACTCCTCGCTAAGGCGTCTGCCTCTGCCCTTTCCAGGCCGTTGATCTCCTACATCCGGAAGTTCTATTACTACGACCCCCAAGAGGAGGTGTATCTGTCGCTGAAGGAAGCTCAGCTGATCTCAAAACAGAAGCAGGAGACTGAATCCTTGACGTAGCGAGGCTGCCGCGCCCATCTTGTCACGGTCACGGACGGTAAAATCCACTCTGCCATCCCAGCCATTATTCCATGCAGTTAAAAAAAAATCCTTGCTATCCTGTTATTGCGGGGAAAGTGCAAGGAGGTCAAGGATCATTCTTGCTGACCAGGGTTTATCCTGGGGTTTGTTCCTTCTGGTCTCTTGGTTAGTTGCAGGAAGATAACAATGTTCTGGTGTGTTTCATCTCTGATAGGGCTTGGGGAATACCAGCTGCTTTGGTGGTGGTGGGTCCTGCCTCTAGCACTGTACGCATTGGTGGTGGTCTAACCAGCCGGGACCCAAATCACATTGGACTGGATGAACACATTGGAAGTCAGTGCAGGATACAGACACACGTGGTCCCTCACACACACACGTGGTCAGGGAGTGAGCTCAGGCAGCTGCTGCAGTGACAAGAAAGCTGCAATCCAGGAACGAAGACTGGGAGGGAAATGCCTGGTCAGTAGGGAATGGTTTTCTCCATTTTAGCGGGGGGCAGCTGGACGCTTGATGGCAGCGTCAAGTGTTGGGACACTGGAAGCTCGGGAGACGCCTCTCCTTCTCTACAAGACTCTTTTCAGGCGGCTGCAAAAGCAAATTGTTGGAGAGAATTGATTAACTGGGGAATTAATTAATCTAAGATTATTCTCCCAGTGCCCGAGTGGACTGACCTCTGCTAATTTATCTTCCTGCGAAGCTCCTTGGCACACCAGGGTATGCAGAAGAATTCTAATGACTCTTTAAATGGTATTAAAGTGGATGGAGGGAGCTGGGGGGTAGGGGAGATCACCAGAAATCTGAGTTGGAGGCAGTGATTAGGCTTAGTATTAACTGCATACACAGTTAAATTAAATTTCAGCCCAGCTGCCTTTTCATGTGGGCTGACAGTGCCGGGGCACTGGGTTAAAGCTCAGCACAATGCACTATATCGTGAGTAGGAGGTGAAGCTACCTTTTCCTTTCCCCTGTTTTTTAATGTAGAGGACACAGGTTCCTGGGTCTGATTCTGTGCCAGGTCTCCAAGGGGTGCAGTGCAGACCAGGGAGAGACGGGGTTAGGTTGCTTTATGGCACTTTTGGGCCCTCCAGGTTCTAAGCTTCTCCAGGGATCCGAACAGAGCAGTAGCCCATCCCAGTTTGCCTATGGACTGCAGCTCTGTCAAAAATCCCTGCAGTACCAGCTCTTAAAGGTCCATCCCAGCATGCCATCTATACTGAAGCTTGCAAGGAACGGGCCACGTTGTATTGTTTATGGCAGCCACGTGCTGTCTGACCTGTGGGGATGCTCTCCTGGTCCATTGTGGTTCATTAACAGGCCTTAGACATCACTGGAGCAGAGTGATGACAAAGTGCACATGGGGATAGATTCTATCCGATGGGACAAGTTCTACTTGATAAGGGTGGGGTGGATGCTAGGCCTGTATCAAACATGCATGGTAAAAATCAAGAGCAGTGCAAAGGCTGGGGGAAGCAGCCTAACCTTTCTCTGACTTAGAGGAAATGTAGCGTTCATGATGTGCCTCTGATGGCTACCGCAGTGCTCGCTGGCATTGGAGTCTCCAGGCTTCTCAGAGACTTCAACTTTCTTGAGGGCGAGGTCGCCTTTGAATTGGCTCAGGATTTTGTGGCCACCATAGACCTATCCTAGGTTGTTGAGGCCTCCACACATGAAGCGAGGCATGTGCTGGGTCTTGCTTCCAAGTGGGGGTTGGTGGCTGAGGGTGGATGACTGTTAAGTCTTGATCATTTCCAGAATATAGGTTGGGATTTGAGGCTAACATTGGGGAAGAACAAATTAAGAATTACTTAGACAAATTACATGTCTTTTGTCAGGCCCTGCCGACTTGAAGACATCTTGGAATACTTAAGAAACTAGCTGAAGAGCTCTCTGAGCCATTAGCTATTCCCTTTGAGAACTCATGGAGGACAGGAGATGTCCCAGAACTGGAAAAGGGCAAATATAGTACCTATCTATAAAAAGGGAAATAAGGACAACCCAGGGGATTGTAGACCAGTCAGCTTCACTTTGGTACCCGGAAAGATAATGGAGCAAATAATCAGTTTGTAAGTGCATAGAAAGATAATAAGGTGATAAGTAATAGTCAGCATGGATTTGTCAAGAACAAATGTCAAACCAACCTAATATCCTTTTTGGACGGGTTAATAAGCCTTGTGGATATGAAAGAAACAGTAGATGTGATCTATAGCGACTTTAGTAAGGCTTTTGATACTGTCTCACATGACCTTCTCATAAGCACAGTAGGGAAATATAGCCCAGAGAATCTACTATAAGGAGAGTGCCCACCTAGTTGGAAAAACATACACTCAGAGTAGTTATCAATGGTCAGTCAAGCTGGAAAGGCATATTAGGTAGATCCCACAGGGATCTGATCCTGGGTCCAGTTCTGTTCAGTATCTTCATAAAAGATTTGGATAATGGCATAGAAAGTACACTTATAAAGTTTGCGGATGATACCAAGCTGAGCAGGGTTGCAAGCACTTTGCAGGACAATTAAAATTCAGAATGATCTTTACAAACTAGAAGAGTGGTCTGAATTAAGGATGGAATTCATTAAGGATAAATACAGAATTCTACAATTGCACAAATATAAATGGGAAATGACTGCCTAGGAATGAGTACTGCAGAAAAGGATCTGGTAGTTATAGTGGATTACAAACTAAATGAGTCAACAATGTAATACTTGTTGCAAAAAAAAAAAATTGAACATCCATTCTGGGATGTATTAGCACAAGTGTAAGCAAGACACGAGAAGTAATTCTTGCACTGTTCTCAGCAATAAGGCCTCGGCTGGAGTAGTGTCCAGTTGTGAGCACAACAATTTTGGAAAGATGTAGACAAATCAGAGAGAGTCCAGAGGAGAGCAACAAAAATAAGTCAAGAAAACATGACCTATGAGGAAGGATTGGAAAAAATTGGGTTTCTTTAGTTTGGAGAAGAGAAGAAGGGGGTGGGGGAAAATGTAAGTCTTTATGTAAGAAGTGGTTGTAAGAAAGTGATAAATTGCTCTCCTTATCCATTGAGGACAGGACAAGAAGTAATGGGCTTCAATTGTAGCAAGGGAGATTTAGATTATACTTTAGGAAACGCTTCCTAACTGGAAGGGTGGTTAAGCACTGGAACAAATTACCTAGGGAACTTACGGAATCTGAGTCACTGGAGGTGTTTAAGAACCGGTAAGATAAACACCTGTCAGCGATAGTCCAGAGAATACATAGTCTGGCCTCAGTTCAGGGGACTGGACTAGGTGACTTATTGCGGTCACTTCCAGTCCTACCTTTCTGTGATTCTCTGCAGTTTGAAGCTAAAGCTCACTGTTTCTCCCAGCAGAGCGATGGATGTGTTTTAATAACTCCTCCACAAAGATTGCAGGACTCCACTGGGTTCCAAAACTCTTACGGGATAACGCTCTGTGGCAGGCCCACTACCAGGGATCACTTGTCCTACCTCTTGAAGCACCTCTCCGCTATCCACTGCCCTCCGAACTCCATGGTGTGGTAATGACCTGCGCCGGAGTCAACACTTGGGGTGGAAGTTAAAGTGCCAATGGTTATTTTATTGTCTGATTGGTAAACGATGTTGACGCTTAGCAGGAGGAGCAAGGAGAATTTTCTTCTCCACCGTTGCACCCGCAGGGAACTGTTCGGAGTGCTTGACAGCCTGATAAATCCTCTCGGGCTCTGCTTTGAAGCAGAGCTTTCCAGCGGCAAGGAATTTTCCATCTCCTTCATGGATAAAATCCATCAGACTGAATCTGCTGCCACGAAGAGGTAGATTCATTTCCGCTGAGGACAGATGCTCGGTCTCCTCTAGGAGTCCTGCCTCGTTCTGCTTGCTGAGCTTAGAGGTATTAAGGAAGCTTCCGCCTGCAAGTTGGACCCATCTCCCATAGCCAGTGTCGTCCAGTACTGCATACTTCCATGGCTTGTAGACTCTACCTCTTGGTGCAGAAATTTGTTCCAGCTTGTATTTTAAAAAAGCCTCTAGCCCTTATGGTTGTGAAGGCAACCTTAAACCTGAGCCGAATGTACCAATGCAGTGATGTTTGCACAGAGCCTGGAACAGCAGCTCTGGGAGGGCTGGACTGGCCCATACATCGCAGTGAGCTTAGAAATGACACTTAAAATGCCAACATTTATTTATTTAGTTCCTGCTTAAATGATCAGCCGTTACTTGGCTAATGTGCTTATTTCCCAATCCCAAACTGCTCCCCATGCCATCTCCGCTGCCAGCAGTCCTGCTCCCCCCTAGAACTTCCCAATGGCGTGGTGCTAGTACCGACACCTAGTGTGCACTGAGAACGTTCGGCGCACTGAAATAACATGGAAGGACCCTCTCTTGATTGGGTGGTCAGCAGGGATGGTCCCTGGTGCCTCAGGATGAGAGCTTGAACCTCTACGGCTTGAGCTGAGGGCCACGCCCATTAGCTAAAAGACAGTAGCAGACTCTCACCTGTACTGTTGTACAGTAAAAAAAACCCTTCGGTTTTGAATGGAAACAGAGGGTGCAAAACACAAAACTTCCTGGTTCGTCGGGGGGGGGGGGGGGGTAGGAATGTTGCAGGGTATGTCCAGCTTGGCCTGCAGTACACAGGCAGCAAGTGTAGTCTGGTGCACTGACTCCTGAGCCAGCGATGGAAGAAGTGCCCCAACCACGGCTGTCCTTGCATCCCTTTTTTCATTTCCAAAACCAGCTGGAAATCAGGGTGGTTCAATGCATGCTACTGGGTACTAACCACCCAAAGCCTTTCCAGCTTCCGCCCTCTCAGGGGAAGAGGACACACCCTTCCCCCATTGAGCCTTTCTGGCTACTGTAGAAGGAACCACACTAGGGCTTCCCTCACCCTTGGGGTCCCGACAGGCTGTTGTCCCTGCCTATGAGGGAAGCCTTGTATCTGGCTTCCTACAGGTCACATGCCTGCAGTTAGTCATGTGACTGTGACTTCAGCTCCCCATGGTCATGACAGGTGTACTGGGGGGCCTGCATGTGCCCCGAAAGCCCCGTGCCCTGTTACAGGAAGGTTTTGAGTCCTTCATTCAGTATCTCTGCGTCTCGGGTCCATGAGACAGGAGGGGTTTGTATGGGAATGGCTTTTTTCCCCTTGAAAAACAATTGCAAGAGTTGTAGAATGTTTTTGTGCATTTTCCTTGAAACGTGCTAGCTAGGACGCACTTCATAAATCCCCATGTGTAAATAGTTAACTCTGGTTCCTTAGCCAGGCCAGAAGGTGCTGGGTAAGGGCCTCTCTAGCTCCGCTGGCTAAGCAGATCTGGAGACTGCTTTATGGGAGAGGCTAGTGCTAGCCTGGCGTTTTTGGAGAGAAGAAAGAGGACAGGAGAGCTAGAGATGAGATGGGCAGATCAATCTGATAAGGGGAGCGGGAGGGGAGGTTCCCTAGCTGGGAATCTAGGTGTGAGGTAGTTCAGGAAACAATTACTTGTAATCTAACCCTTTGAAGCCAAGAGCTGGGCTTCTAGGAACAAGCTGTCAATACTGGTACCCAAGTGGTTAACAAAATGAGCCGTTAACTGAGTCTCTGTTTTTGCCAAGGAATGGAGTTCTACCTCTCTGACTGGGGGAGTCTTTCCTCTTTAGCTTACTCCTTATCCACATTGCTGGGTCTGTCCGTATGGCCGTTCCTATGCTCCCCTCTGCACTCCTGTACCAGCCCAGCTCTCCTGTGGGAGTCTCTGATCTGCATTGGATTCTTCCCGTGTAAACCAGGCTGACTAATTCTCTTCCTCTTCTCTCTCCAATTAGGAATTTGCTTGCTGAGATCCTGTAGCAAAGAGCCTAAGCAAAGCTACAGTAGAAAGGAGGCGCGGGAAGGGGGAAGCCTGCCTCTTTCCTCCTCTGAAGAGGCTTCCGGACTCCTAAGAAGCCCAGCAGAACGGAAATTGGAGCTCTGGCTTGGGGATGGAGCCTTTGACAGCAAGCGAACTGGATCCCAGACTCGTCGCAGAACGGCGAATGTCACGGCACTGGTTACGATTTCAGTTTTTATTTTTGATGTTTCCGTTTCTCAGCATGGGAAATACTGTCTTTAAGAGCAGCTGGATTTTAGTCCACCGCAGATTCAAGGGTGAGGGAAGAGAGGGATCTCGCAGCAAGATCATCCAATCCAGCCATCCTGGGAAAACTGCTCTTTGGCTACCATCCATGCGGCTGTGGCCAAAGAGCTGCGGGGAAGGAGACTGAGCCAGATTCGTGTGCAGCTACGTAGAATAATTGTGGGTGGGGGGAGGGGAGGTGCTAGCGCTCTAAACAGTGCAGCTGCGTAGACCCTGTGCTTTCTAGGAGACGGTGCAAGAGCCCAACCTAGCCTGGAGTCGCCGAGTGGTCCTGTGCGCTTTCACATCCTACCCAAGGAGGGGAACTGTGCGCGCTCCATTCAAATGTTCTGAAGCCTTCTGCCAGCGGACTAGCTTGTAGCATTGAGGGGCAAGAGGCTATCAGCCACCCAGCACATGCCAGAAGATGTAGCCCAAGAGTTTTTCGGGCTAAAGTCCTTTACAGTTCCTCCTGTGATAGCTGTGGAATCTGGCAAAGCTGTTGTGTCTAAATTCCAGCAATCCGTGAGCCAAGGGCATTCCTGCCTCACTGAAGCCGTCTCAGCACTGCAGAGCCACAGGGAGTTTTGTTCAGGCCTCTGTGCTGGCTACTCCCAAAAGCTGTGAATGAAATGGCTTTTTCATCAAAGGAGCCGTGTCGAATCCTGACGACTAATTGCGAAGGCTGTTGTGGGGCATCTCTCCGACTCAACGGACGGGGAACCAATTTTTGACCCTGACCGTGGGTTAGGTGGGATGATGCAGGAGAGAAGGATGATCCCAACATACTTGGAGACGGCTTCCTGATCTTCCTGTGAGGGTGATGCTCTGTATTTCTGGTGATGAACTAGAACGTGATCTGGGAGGATTGCAGCCCAGAACAATTCCTGCAGATGGGGCCAGTAACAGGAGAGCTAAAAGAGTGTTGCTTCTACTGTATTTGCCATGTGGCTCTTAAATTTTCCATGGCTTACTGGGTTTGGCACTAGTAATAGCTCTCTCATCTCAAGGAGCCTGGTCTGCTGCTGTCTTCACAGCTACTAAGGAGTTGTTTTCATAGCAAAATGTAGTGTCTGCCCTTTGGTGGGGATGAGGCCCTTCTAAGGAGGGATCTCGCGTCCTGTATAGTTAAACTAAAAATTCCTCTCCGCGTGACTGCTGCCCACTCCCCTCCCAGCAGTGTGGTGGTCTGGAAGTTGTGATGTTTGTGTCTGGCACTCGGGCTGCGGTCTTCTAACCTGGCATCCTTTCGCTGAGGTCTGAGTGTCCCCTACGTTGGATGTAGCAGTTCGTGAGAATTTAGGATTCGCACCGTTCCTTAAGGAATGATGTACATATTGAGGTTAGAGAGAGTAGCATGAAATCTGCCTCGCTCTCTGTAAAGAGTTCCTCTAGAGCAGGCTGGAGGCCAGGGCTCTTCCTTTCCTGTGTAAATGAGAACAGCTTCACTTCCGGATGAAACCACAACAAGGCTTAAGCAGTCTCTAGAAATACCTCATCTGAAAACATTTGCTACTGAATCTGCATCCCGTTGGTGGTTACCTACGTGGGCAGGGGGTAGCAGAGAGGGATGAATACCCTCTTAGACTGGTCATTTACAGTACGTCTACACTGCCTTTTCCGCTCTTCTCCCCCCCCCCCCAAAAAAAAACAAAAAACAACCAACCCATGACTGCAAGTCTCGGCGCCTGGGTCAGGCTATGGAGGCTAAAAATAACAGTGTAGATGTTCGTTCTTTGTGCTGGTGTTCAAGCCCCGAGACCCACCTCCCTGGCCAGGTTTCAGAGCCCAAGCGGGAACGTCTGTTGCTATTTTTAGCCCCGTAACGCAAGGCAGAGCCAGTTGATCTGGGCTCTGAGACGTGCTACTTTGGGTTTTATTGCAGTGTAGACAAAGCTGTCGCATGTCTTGTTCCCCTGTGAAATCTGGGCTCTTTAGGTCCATAGCACAACATGACCCACCAGCGAGGCTCCAGAAGTTTAATCTCTCTCATAAACCCTACGTCCCCCCCCCACCAGCCGGAGATTTGCAGTTCACATATAGTCATGGGCCTGGTTAAGATCAAGGAGCGCACAGCAAATTGGGACGAATGATGCACAGCTTGAAAATCCAGCCGTGCCGCTGGGGTGCACAAGACTGATTTGCATCTTCCTTTACAGTGGGAGGGGGCCTGGATGTGACAGCAATCCCTAGATGCGTAGCCCCTCTAGCTTTGATACAGCTCATCCTAGCCATGGATTAAGAATCCAAATATTCAACCTCCAGCGAATTCATACACTGGAAAAAATCTGCTTCCCTGGAGTGACTGCAAAGGAGGATCCGACACCTCCAAAATGTCTGTAAACTTATGTGCCGCTGCAGACTAACAGCTCATTAACCTTCCCTCTAATTGGACCGCTCTGAGAGGCACTGGATTGGGAGAGCAATGCAGAGTGTGAAGGGGCTGGCTGTTGGACTCCAATGGTCCCTTGTTTTCCGCCAGCCATGGGGAACAGCTGCAATCAACATGGGTCTGGGAGACTTGTGGATCTGCTTGTAAAGAGAGTGGGGGGAGGACCTATCCTCCTCTTCCCCCCCCCCCCTTAAATTTGGAAGACGTCTGTGCTGTTTCTCACATACCTCCCACCCAGTTCTTTCTGGAGCAGATAAAGAGTCAAGCTGTCAAATTGATGCTGGATTTGGAGAAGCAAGGTGGAGACTTAAATAGGCAGGCTGGAAAAAGAAGAGGAAATGTATTTGGAATGGCCAAACACTGAAATAACCTGTAGAATGAACTACTATCCCTGAATGGGGTTGCCTCGGGGGGGAAATCTTTTTTTTTTGAGGGGGGCGGGATAAAAACGCACAAATCTACACCCCAGCATTGGCTGGTTTAAAGAGAAATGCTGATCTCAACTATTTGACCTCTTAATTCTCTGGCATGTTAATTCTCCACTTCACTCTCCTTTTTTAAGCCCGATGCAACTACTGAGGACTTGTTCCCGCTGAGCCATGGAGTCCTAGGGCAGGTCATATACATAAAACATCCAGGAGCAGTCCAAGAAGCAGCGTGACTTTTTGAAATGCTGTTGCATCTGTATTGGGTCTGCTGTAAGCATCCTCGAAAAGGAATTTCCCCCATGGGCTGTTTGGCAATTTCTGCTGGTACTTGAAACTTGAACGCTGCAGCGGGTGAGCGTTCTAGCCGGATGGTGGTCGGCTAACAAGGGCTGTGGCTTGCATCCTTGAGCTGCTGGTCAGAGATGCTTTATATTCCTCTGCCTGGTGACCGGGATTCCTTGGTATGGAATGGAATGCTGTCCGCTACTGAGCATAGGAGGTGCCGCTGTTCGGGGAAGCCTCAGTCTTACCAACAGGTATCCCAAAAGCACCTTGCAAGAGTCGGAAGCTTATCACAATTTTACTAGCCTGTACCATTTCCATGGAGAAATCTGTCCGCAAATTACTCTGGGCAAGTATAATTTGTAAGGCTCAACTTTAGTTGCCTTCAACAATAGGAAACTCCAGCAAACTGTTCCCACGGGCTTGCAGGGTTCTGCATGCTAATCTGTAAATGGGCTAATCTGAAGCAGGTCTCTTCTTACGCAAGATCATTTTAGTGATCTGTGAATGGAGGCAGGCGTAGCAGCAACACACTACGTGTAAGGGTGACAGGGTGCTACACACCTGTCCTATAAATTTACCCCCCCTCCGCATTTCTCTGGCATAGCCAAGCGAAGGGAGGCACACATACTGCATAACCATTCTGCTGCCTCTTTAGTATCGCTTGGATAACATTCCCGACACTCGTGCAGTAAATAAGAACGCTTTTGAAATCCATGTTGAAAAGAAGTTTGTTCATATTGAAAGCACCTCTTATCACTTCAGGGCTAGGTTTCTGAGCCGGTAGCTTTTCCTGCTGGAGGGATGGGAACATCATGGACTCCTGAGGCAGCTGTAAATGTTTTTTCCTGCTCCAATTCAGAGACTATCAAGGTCTGAGGGGAATGGACAGAGCCATCTCTCCAAGTGGGCACTGTTCTTCCTTACTGGATGTAGCAGGCCTGTGGATGGAGATCTTATAGGTGACCTGTCCCTAGTTCCCATTTGGTCAGTGATCCCTGTCCACATGTAGGGAGGAACATTTCACATTTTTATGAGACTATTTTGTTTTCCTTGTAGGTTAGTGGGCTTATCTAGATTTAAAGGGACACGATCAATTTGATTCTCTTAAAGTTACTTGAAGCGTTCTTTAGTGTCCTGATCTCTGATTCCTTTAAGAAAAAGTAAGTTTGATAAGTTTATAAATAGGATTATATGATGGGTTTGCCTGCGCTAGCAGGGGACTGGATGAGATGACCCAAGGAGGCCCCTTAGAGTCCTGTAACCATGGGGTTTTTCTGCTGCAGATTATTGGGGCCCTATTTAGTAAGGGAGAATTTGATTATTGATGGGGCGAGGGAGATGGACAGTGAAATTGACTAATACTAAAGTGCCGTCAAATGCACAAATTAAAGTTGAAAGAAATCTCTTCCATGATCTTTTCACACGCATGCTGATCTTTGATGATGTAACTACAGCTGGTACAAAATTTCCAGTCAAACATATTCAAGTTGACAAGGTGTCTTTAACGGTAGTTAGCTCAAACACCAAATTTGTCCCGTTGCATACGTCGCCATCTTTCTGTTCACGGCAGCAGAGTCTATAGGTAGTGAGACGACGTGACTTGCTCCTGGGGAGTAAACTTTTTTAAATAAAAAAGGCAACTGTTTTTTGAGCATCAGGTGCAATTTACTTATGAGAGTGTCCTGGTGTTAAAGCAGCTCTGAATCTTTGGAGGAAGAGGGAAGAACATAGTTGATGTCCCCACTGGTGGTACGCTGCAGACATTTTCACTAGTGAGACATTAGTTTAGGAAGCCAGCTGTCAGCAGTAGGGTCAGCAGGGAGCTCAGGATTTGACCTGTGAGGCTCCCATACTTAAGTTGAAAACTAAGAGTGTAGAAATTTTGAAGACCTCTTCTCTGAAGGGGAAACAGTGCAAGGAGGCGGAGCTCAAAATCAAATGGTGTTTCAAATATTTGGCTCAGTCTTCAAACTGTAAATAACCATCCCATATCCCTTTACAGTGAGTTCAGTACGCAAGAGCCCAAATTGTCTCGTTCACAGCGTGACACTTCTGGCTAGGGCCTTCTCTAAAGGGCTCCCCATGTTGCATGCCGAGCCCATTTCCCCACTCCTAGTTATGACCTGGTGCCTGCCGTCAAATGACACGGAGACAGCTCTTTTCTTCAGTGGCTTAAAGAGTTAAAGTGGTTGACTTAACCAAGCGAATCTCAAGAGGCCCTGTAGTCCTGTTTACCCAGTCAGAGACTAAGCCCCCTCCATCCAAATGAAGTCAGTGGAAGCAGAGCGCTCAACATCTTAGTGTTCATTCCTCATCAGGGGCTTGTGCTACTGGGCCCCTCTGGCAATTGGGCTTGTACCTCTTTGGCAACACCAGCCAGGTAGGTGGTCGCGTATCTTGTAGGATAGACAAGTACATAAGCTCAGTGTAGAGGCTTCCAACAGCTGTTTGTGGATCTGAGCAGGGTGGTGGAATTCTAGTGCAGGTGATGGCCAGCGGTGGGATTTTTCTAGCTCACGGTAGGGCCGGCAATGAGGGAATCCAGGCAGCAGAGTTCCCTAAACATACAGGGTGTGGGAAAAATTAGGTTGTGCCCTTTCTCGATTCTTCAGAATTTATAAATAAAGCCTCCAGTTTGGCTTGTATCCTACCATTAAAATCACTGTCAGGTTTAGGCCTCCCTGTTGGAACACTCATTGGAGGTCTCGGATGTGCATTCAGCTGTCTCATCTTTCAGTTGAACTTTAAACCAATGAAGCATTTCATAGGAGGCTTTTTTGAAAACACCCTGAATAGAAATCCCTTCCCTCTTTCAATCAGGTGTCACTTGGCTGACCGCTGATGCCACGTCTTCTAGGTAAAACAGGGTAGACCAGACCTGAAGTTCTAATCTACAAATTAGGGGCAGGTGAGTCCCAAGGGGATAGCATACTCTGCTAGGTGTTAAACCTGGGTTCTTTCTCTCTGCCACTGACTTGCCACGGTGAGACCTTGGTCACATCTCTTAAACACTGTTTGATTTCCCCAGTTGTAAAATGGGGCGAAAGATGCTTCCTTTTAAAGTGCTTTCAGATGAAAAATGCTATAGGTGCTAATCAAGAAAAATGTGGGCAAACTCTTGTGCGCTCGCTAAAAATGAAACAAAAAAAAAACTTCCACGCCTTAATACAAAAAAGCAAAAAAAGGGGGCCCACCCCCTCTTTTTTTTTTTTTTTGCACGTCACTCTTTAAAACCAGTGACCAATAAAACAAACACTGGAGTTGCAGCCTCCTATCCTTTTTTTAAAAAACAAAGCTTATATAGGCAAATATCTACTGTATTTGATCTTGATTAATTTCAATCAAAGTAGCATGCAAAATTCTTGCCTAGCTCAGAGACACTGACTCTTGGGTAATCCAGATAAGGAACTTCCCTCTGTGTGACGCATGTTGTAAACCAAGTGGATAAAAGCTTCTGCTCTGACGTGTTTCCAAGCCCCAGACTCTTTAACCACCATCCAGCAGAAATGCAGCTTTGTTTAATTTTTTGGTCCTTTTTTTTTTTTTGGCTTAATTTATTAAAATAGTTGCTGTATAATTTATTTTCATAAACTATATTAAAAAGGTTACTAAAGGGTAACCAGACTTGCAGGCCAATCTTTAAAAAAAAAATAGTTTTTTGATATAAACATAACAAATGCACTGTGAGTGTGTTTGGTTATTTTTGGGGTGGGGGGGGAACAAGGTGTATCTGTGGATTCTTCCCAGAAGGGGGTTGTCTGTATATATTGTATTAATAGGCATGTTTGGCCTCTCGTATGGAAGCGTTAGTAACTGCTGCCGATCTTGTCCAGGAAGCCGGTGTAAAATTCTCAGTTTTTTGTAAATGGTCAGTGAGGGAGACCTCTGACTTTTGTGTTTGTAACTCATTTTTATTGTCGTTTTGAACAGTGGGTTTTTTGGTTGGGGAGGGGGGGGGCGGGACAGGGGAATTTGAAATAAAATGTTTAGAAATTGTTTCACGGACTCTTTTTAGATATTTCGCTCGCAGCCAGGAACCTGCACCGGTGTGGGGCTTTGTCCCCCTCTTGCAATGATGAGCCTCTACGCCTAAAGCAACAACGCTGTTAGGAAGGGCTCTAGGAGGCTCCTCGCCCTGGAAGGGAAGCGTGCCCCGTTGAATGGGATACACAACTGTCTGGTGTTCTCTCCACACCCCCGATGGTACATGCTCCAACAGCTAAGCACCTGGCGGTAAGAGGATCCTTCAGGCTCCTCTCTCGCTGTTTGTTTGGGTTTCTTGGGTCTTTCTCCAAAGCCCTTGGCGCTGGCGGCTGTGGGTGGTAGGATGCTGGACTGGAAGTGGGCTCCGGTCCTAGAAATCGTGGTAAAGGCAGTTCTTCCCTTTCCAGGGCTCCTAGGACTCTCCTCCCCAGGAATCCACTTCCATTTTCTGTCCCCTTTTAAACTCCCCTGTGTTTGCAGCAGGATGGGAATGCTGACTTAAGTCCAGTCCCGGTAATCTGCCACCTACTGCTGTGACATGCAGCAGCACCTGCAGTGCTGGAACTGTGCCCCCAGCACTCCTCCTCCATGGGTGGCTGGGGGGAGAGAGCCCCACTCTCACTGCCCCACTCCTCCGTGCGTCTTGTTACTTGCCTCTGTCGACTTAGGCCAGGCACCATCCTCTGTTCCAAGTCCTGCCCCTGGTGCTCTCTGGTTTGGGTCTCTCTCAGAGCTGGCTTCCATAAGGAGGAAGAGCTACAGCGGATGGGCCTATGTAGGTGCTCTGAGATCAGTAATGGCCCATCACACTCAGTCTTCCTTAGGTTACCTTTGCTTATGCCAACCAGGGAGGGGGGAAGCTCTGATTGCGGCTTGGGGTGGATGTGAATTCTAGTTGCTAAATGGAAATCATGCGCACTCCAGCTCACAGGGCCTCACTTCAGCCATTTCCAGAGTCCAGAGCTCCTGATTATCTGCTTCAGAAAACGCATCACAAGGTCCATGCCCCTGTGTGCGGCTGACTGCAGAGACCCTTCCAACCCACGCCATGCTGTCTGCCTGAGTCTGCAGACGGACTGCTCCAGGTGCAGCAGCCGCGAGCTGTAGCACCCTGCCTTGGGCCCTAAAATAGCCTCCTCCGGTTCTTCACCTACAGTCGGGCAACCTCAAACGCACCCGTTATTACAGACCTGGATCTCTTCGTGCTTGGCTGAGGGTCGCTGCCTTTCCGGGGGTCTGCTCCATCAGGGAGCAGTGTAAGAACTAGGCAGTCCTGAACCTGTTGCCTTGTCTGTTAAGCAGCTATTCTAGTTTCCTTGGAGGTGTTAGGTGATGGATGGAGGGGCGGGGGGTGGCTTTTGCCTACGTGGGCTGCTAGAGTTAGTCTGTTACTCACCCAGGCCTGAGGTAAGAAGGGAACAGCTGCCTGGTCCACTCCCATCCTAGGGCCTAGGAACGCCCTGACTCCAGTCTGGTTCTCTCCCTGTCTCAGCAGCACATCTGCTTGTTAGCACCAGGTGTCGTTTCTCCCCTGGGAAGGTGGCATAAGGGCTGGCGTGTGTGAGTGAAGTGTGCAGAGAGCAGCGATGGGATTTTGCTAAGGTGTTCGGGGCTGGGCCAGGAGAGGAGAAATCCAGCTACCTCGCCAAGGAAGGAGCACAGACGGCCTTTTCCAGACACTTTGGGCTGGCTTTCCAAACACTCCCAAGTGAGGGCCAGATTTTCCCAGGAGCATTGAGGAACTAGAGCAGTGGGGGCTGTGGGGAGAAGGGAGGACAAATAAGTGCTTATTATGGAGCCGCTCAAAGACCTGACCTGGGTATTGACTGACTCACGGCCGCTGTGGGGGAAGGATATTGAATTGGACGGTGGGCAGCAGAGGGCACAAGGAATGAAAGATCCTGGAGATTAGAAACCTGCTGCCAGGCAAGGGCTGGGTTCTGGGCGGGGAAAAGTCAGGCTTGGGGCACAGGACATTTCAGAGGGTCCTGAGAAGGGGCAGGCACTGGCAGCGTGTTGAGTGCAAAGCTAGTGCGGGTCTCTGAGAAGGAGCCATATGTCCCCCATTGTACAGATGGGGGAACTGGGTATAGGGAGGGGAAGAAAATTGCCAGAGGTGTCAGAATGGGAGTAGAACCCAGGAGTCCAGGTTCCCGCTCTGGGGCCGTGCCCCATCCCCTGGACTGCACTGTATCCTCAGACTGTAACGGCTTCTCTCCAGGCCCTCTGATCCTGGAGCAGCAGCCGGGTGCGGAGCGTACAGGTTAGGGCAGTGGTTTGTGGCCTTTCTCATCCCCGCTCCCTGGGTGCTACAGCTCAGAGCTGTGTCAATCAAACAGGGTTAGCTGGCGAGGGAATAAGGTATTGGGCAGTGGGCATAGCCGGGCTGCGCGACCCTCCGTCCAGGCCAGCCCGCTGTTATTGGCACTGACGGAGCCCCTTGGCAAAGTCTCAGGCGGTCCCTGGGGGCAGTGGCCTACTTCAAGCAGGTGGCCGTTTGCCCAGGCTGTGCCCTGAAATCCTTCTCTGTGGCCCCGACACCAGGTGCCCGACCTACGGCTGGTGCAGGGTGAAGCTGAGAGCAAAGGGCCCCTTGGCCCCTCTGCCTGGAGTGACGCTGGTGCCCACTCATTGCACTACGTAGACCTGAACCCCTGGGGCAGCGTGACCTAGGAGACCCTCCTGGCTGGCTCTGGGGGCATTTCCTCTGCCCTGTTACTGCCCCCCCAGGGCAGGGGGCTGGATCCATCTCTGGCCACTTCTGAGGCTGGGCACAGCATGGGAGTGGGGGAGGGGTTGGGGGGGTGGAATTCTCTGCTGGGCCTGGTGCGCCATCTTGTGCCCTCTCTCTGCAACTGCATCCGCTGTGCCCCGGCGAGGCCTTGCGTGAATTTGGGCTGGCAGAGGGGTAGGAAAAGAAACAGCTGTTGCAGGGGGGAGCTTTGCATCCCCTCGCTCCGCTGAACAGCTGCTGGGAAGAGGGCTGCTGTGGAGCCCTGAGCCCCCCCAAAACTGCGAGCCCTCGGGCCGGTGTGGAATTTGCCTCCCTGCGCAGCCCCCTTGGCCTGGCTGGAGCTGCCCCCCCAAATCTAGAAGTCACACTATGCCTGCGTGCTGTCACCTGGTGCAGGGGGAGCCCGTTCCTGTTCCACCAAGAACTGAACTCCGGGCAGCCCTGGCCGGCGCTTGGCTCATGCACTGTGTGGCTCAGAGCGAGGGGAGGTTCCCTGGCCGAGGGAGACCCGGGGCCCTGTAGGAGGAGAGGGGCTGAGTGGGGACTGGAATGGGGTCCCTGCTGGGGTGTGAGGACGGAGAGGGGAATCCTAGCCTGCGGTGCCTGCCGAAATCCTGATGGGGCCTGCTCCGCGGCTGGCTCTGGTGTGTGGTTTTCCCAGCTCTGTGCAACGCGCCCCCCCCCTCCCAAACCATTCAAGAGCCGTGGGACACAACGGTAGCTCCCGGCGGAGCAATTTCCTGGCTGAATGCTGCTGAGGCTGTGGTCGAGGGGCTGCTGGTGGCCGGCATAGGGCTGTCGAGGGAGAGCGAGGCGGTTTCTCCAGACCGGTCCTCGTGTGGCCAACCAGCAACGTGCCACGGTGCCCGTGGCATCCGTCCTGTGGGAGCGATGCTGAGGCCGGCCTGCGGCCCATGGGGATGTGTGAAGAGGGGAGCCCTGAACGCTTGGTTAGCCTCATCATTACAATGGAAGGTGCACGCTGCCTCCTCGCCTGCTCCTAGGGTGACGAGATGTCCCGATTTTATAGGGACAGTCCCGATTTTGGGGTCTTTTTCTTATATAGGCTCCTATTACCCCCCACCCTGTCCCGATTTTTCCCATTTGCTGTCTGGTCACCCTACCTGCTCCACTGAGAGGAGCCGTGTGCAGGGGCGGCTGCTTGGACCCCCGGCAGGCAGGCGAGCGCCCGGAGCCTGGCAGGGGCGGCTGCTTGGAGCCCCCGGCAGGCAGGCGAGCGCCCGGAGCCTGGCAGGGGCGGCTGCTTGGACCCCCGGCAGGCAGGCGAGCGCCCGGAGCCTGGCAGGGAGGCTCTGGGTTCCGAGCTGGAGCTGGGCGAGCCCATTGGGGGTGTCTGGGCTGCAGTGAAGTCACCCCAGGGGAGCTGGGCCCCGATGGAGAGGGGCCGGGATGGAGCTAACTGCCAAACCAGCCTGGCCCCTGGCAGCCTGCCTTGCCCCTAGTGTGGCCCCCTGTGGGGGGCCAGGACACCAGAGTTCGACCTCCCCCTCCGGCTGCCCTGACCCTCCTCCTGTTGTAGCCAGATGGGGCAGCTCCCAAGTGAG